AACAATATACATACTTCAATTAAAAATACTTTATTGCTAAAAAATGCTAATCTGTTGGAAAAATTGAGTCAGTAGGCTTGCTCAATGCTGGGTTGCCACAAACCTTCAATTTGTAAAAAATGCAATAACTGCAAAATACAATAAAGCGAAGTGTAATAATACAAGGTATGCTTGTATTATTCTACCAATTTTAAGGCCCTCAACCTCCCTAAAAGTATCAAGTATAGTCTTCACCATCAAATGGTTGTCCACTTCTGCTTTCTAGTTTTCCATTTTATAAAATAAAAACAATTGGGCCATAGAATCTGGCAGCAAAGGAACTAATGAACATTGGTACAAGGATGGGGACCCAGGTTCTAAAACAATAACGCAATTAGTCTGGAAGCATGAAAACAGTGCAGTAATTAGTGGAAGTCACTATGAATTTATCAAGTTTTCTCTAATTTCCTTCCTTCCTTCCTTCCTTCCTTCCTTCCTTCCTTCCTTCCTTCCTTCCTTCCTAGATTGTGGGAGTGCTGCAGATATAGTATATCTTGACTTCAGCAAATCTTTTGGTAAAGCACTACATGATGTTCTGACTGGCAAGCTACTTAAGTTCACTCTGGATGGATGATAATGAGGTGGGCAGGTAGCAAGACTGAAAACTGAGAATGCATATCCATAGTTGTCATCAAATTGAAGTGAGATATCAAGAAAGATTCTGGTACTCATCAACTTTTTTATTAATGTCTTGAAGAAAGGAAAGTGAAAGAAATCTATCAGATTTGCAGATGATACAAAATGGGGTGTGATAGCTAATATTCTATCTAATGATCATGATAATAGACTTTTTAATTTGAATTTATACACTGAGAAAAACTCAGTTTCTAAATGGTTCTTTGCAGCTCTGTGCTTTTACTGTTTTCATTAATATTTGCCAAGATTCCAGCTTAATTTGTAACAAAAACTATTCAATAATAAAAAAACTATTTCTCAAAATTCTTGGATTTCTAACTGCATAATTATTATATATGGTATTTGGAGAAGATCTATAACATATAGAGATGTATCTGCATAATTTCACCAGGAGCATCTCTGAAGTGTTTGGAGAAGCTGCTCCTGTTGATGTTAACCTAGATGTATTCCTTCCAAACCCACTGTTGACCTGAAAGACTAAGTCCAAACAAGACCCTGACTTGAAAAGCCAGCATAATATTGAACAAGATTTTTACAGCTTTGGTGCAAAGTATGAGATGCATTTTGCAATTTACTTGCTTTTCAAAGCACTAATGCAAATTATAAGCAGAGTACATTCTATCTCAAACTGAATATTAATTACAGTAGTTAGGCATTTTAACCTGAGCTAAAAAGACAAGCTTAGGAGGAGACATGAAGGAGCGGTCAAGAATTAATGACATAATTGGCTCAAATCAGAATATGAAATTAACAGTACTACCCATCCCCTAGTGAAAAAGATTTACAAAAAAGGGGAGTGAGTTGCATTATAATAAGATGATATCATAGTCTTAGTTCCTAGGAGAATTATTTCTCCACCCTTCTCTAACCAGGGAACTAGCTGCTCAATTCATGGGGTTTGGAAATGAACCATTCAAATATGGTAATAAAATAACCAACAACATTGTTTTTCAGCATTTCTGTTCTCTTCTCAGCCATGACTACTTGTGTCAGCTATTCAATAAATCTGTACTAAAGACAGATAGTGTATTTTCAAACATGGAATTCTGTTGTAAACATATTTATTTTTCTTTATTTTCTTAGCAGTTTTGAAGGTACCCTTTTTCCAAATCTATTTATCATCACTCCCTGTTTATCACCTTAAAATTGTGAAGTCTTTCAGCTAGGATTGATAATGCATATAATTAAGAAGTCAGATAATGTTCTGTGGGTCCACATTTTTATTTAGTGACTGCAGTATACTGTCCTCATATATCACAACTCCCAATGGTTTACAAATAAGAAAATATCAAGGCTGCCAGCAATACCCCATCTCCCAGATCCAGGAAATACTCCTCCTCTTCAGCTACATGAAGAAGCCATGAGGGCAAGTATATAATCTGCAGGTGGCAGAGGACATCTTAGAGAGCACCCTACTCACTTCCTTGAAGGCAACAGGTCAAAAAGAATCCCAGATAACCTGGCAAGAAATTGCCATATGGAGTCAAGACTTAAGCAAATCTGAGTCACCTTACTTGCAAAATGTTGTCCTAACTAGTCAGAGGGGCCAGGGAGAAGCTCTTGCAGCTGGGTCCCACCCTGAGTAAAGCCACTGGATGACAGCCCACCAGTGCAGTAAGAGAGAAGTAAGAACGCCTCACCTTTCTTATCACCATGAAGTAGGCCCAAATTATTGGCACTTACCCACGCTCAGTCAGCTCCACTCTTTGTCCTCCACCTATACTCTAGGTGTGGCTTTTGCTGCTTCATCTCCCAAAAGACCTTTGAAAATCAAGGGGCCATCTGGGATCATCCAACACTGAGAGAGGCACTTAGGAGTTATTTAGGGCTCCTAAATAATGGTCCTCAAGAGCAGCCCCATCTAGAGCACATTGCAGTAATCTAAATGAGAGATGATTAAGGCGTGAGTGGCAGTGAACAAGACCTTCTGGTCCAGGAAAGGGTACAATTGGTGCACATGGCAAACCTGTGCAAAGGCCTCTCTAGTAATGGCTGCCACCTGCTTCTCCTTCTTGTATGTCAGATAAAGCAGTGATAACAATATGCTCCATTCCAAATCACATGACAACTGCTCTGAAGTAAAACTGAGGTCTAATACATGGCCACCTATATGTGCCAGGTCCAAGATTACCAGGACAAGCCCGTGGTTGCCATGGAAGCCATGAACTCCTGGGCAATACCAGCCCCAGCCCCCACAATACGGAGGTTGAAATCCCCCAATACCAACTGGCAGGCAACCAGGTCCAGGAACCAGGGAAAGATCCAGATGGGGAGCACGGTGGCTGGTACACCAAGAAGACCCTTAGCTTGTCCCTATGGCACAACCTAACACAAAGATAGTCACACCTGGGCACTTCAAAAACAGTGAGAGTAATGGTATGTAAAACTGCTCTCAGATAAGCTATCACAGTGGATCAACACCACCCCATATCCTCGGCCCTGGGATTGAGGCTCATGCAAATTTCTGAAAGGGTGGAATCTATGTCCTGGTTCAGTTAGGTTTTGGTAATACATGCCAAGATAACCTTGTGAAATGCAAGCTAGGTAGGAGCTCCCATCACCTTAGGGGGCAAGGTGTTCCATAACATAGGACTGATATCTTAATGGTGTGGTTCCAGGCCTCCACCCCTTAACTTCACATGGTGCAGGGACTCAAAGCAGCCCCTCTTGGGAAGCATGCATAGGATTGGATCACTCTGGTCAGGAAAGATGATCCTGCTAGTATACAGGGATCAAGCCACGTAGGGCTTCAAAGGTTAAAGCCAGCCCTTTCAATTCATCTCAGATGCCTATTGGTAATCAATACAATCTCCTATCAGCAGTTGGACAACTGCATTTTGGACTAGCTGTAGCTTCTGAGTTACTCTCAAGGGGAGCCTGACATCAAGCATGTTGCAGTAGTTCTAGCTGGAAGATGATGTCTTTATTGTAAGGGCTTCCCAATCCCAAAATGTCTCTAACTGGTGCAACAACTGAAGCTGGGCAAAGGACTTCTTGATCATGGCCTCCACCTGCTATTCAAGCAATAGTCATAATTTTGTGAGGATCCCCAAGTTGGGAACCTGCTTTTTCAGACATCCTTGTCTACAGCCAAGATAGAATTGGGACTGAACCAGATGAACCACATGCAAACAATAACTCCATCTGCAGGGATTTAATCTGATTTTGTTTTCATCTATTTAGTCTCTTGCAGCCTCCAAACAATGGGTCAGGACCTCTACAGCATCCTAGCCCAGGCCAGGATTTTAAGCATAAAGATACATTTGTTTAAGATCAGGAATAGAAAAATACAGGATTTCATTGAATTAGAGCTCCAGTTATAGATGGAAACCCTGTTATTTCTTCAATAGATTTTGCAAAACAAATGGTCATTAGTATTACAGTAGCTTGATTCCAAATGGTTCTATAATTCCATTATAAAATGTCTGGATTTCATCAATTAAGAATATTAACATTTGAAGAATGGTGAATAGCAAAGGAATCCTATCATGTTATATAAAATCATATAAAACTCTTATATTAAGAATGACAGATTCCCTTGAATGCCTTCAAAACATGGGAGATTGGAATTTGAACTTAACCAATCTTTTTGTGGTGAGAATTCCACCTGTACCTTTTTCTGCAGGCCATCAGAAATTGACCATGGTGATAATCCATAAGCAGTAAGTGAAAAGTGAAAAGAAACCATATCATGAACAGATATTGTAGCCTTAAAGTCTTAACATCAATATCTTACATGAGAACAGTCTTCACGCTCAGTTAAGAATCTCCAAGGACAGAATTTTTATCCTAAGGCCATAGTTCAGGAAATGAAGGCAGGCTAAAAGTTCTCCCTTGTCAGTTTTGGTTTAGAAGATTGAAGAAATAGAAAAAAATAATAATTAAAGCATCTTGTAGTACCTTAAAAAGTAAACCTAAAGCAAGAGAATTGTGAGAGTTCTGTACACAAGCAAAAAAGTTACAAGCTAACTTCATCGTGTTCCAGTGTAGCCATTCTTGTCCCAAAGAGGTTATTACTGCTTTTCAGTGCGGACATTTGAATTATTGTCCAGTATTGTACCTGGCACTCTATTCTTTACTGGCAGGAAGAAGATTACGGCAGTTACAGACCGATTGAATGAACGAATGAACGAACAAACAAATAAATACATTATTCTGAGCTTTACTGGAAGCTCATAGTAGCTCTCGATTTAAATGGAACCAGTTTCTTTTACTGCGGCTCACGAAGGCGCTTTTCCTCCGGCTGGCGCATCGGTCTCCACGGCCCGCTTGGCCTCGCTGGGGGAGCCGCGCGTCCCGCCAACTTCACAGACGACCCTCCTCCGCCCTGTCGATCTGTGATGCATGGTGGGCGGGCTAGAGGAAAGGAAGGAAGGCAAGCCAAAAAGCTGCCGGAGCGACTGGGTGGAGCTGCTGGCCGCGCTTCCATCCCGAGGACCCGCGACCCTCATATTCCTTGCCCAGACGAAGACCAAGACCAAGACGAAGACAAGGTCCTCGCGAGTCCCGCAGGCGGAGCCAGCAAGATGGTGAGGGGGCTCGGCCGACGAGGGGATGGGGCCTGGCTCTGAGGCTCGGGGACTAACAGGATTCCTCTAAGCTCTCCTCTCTTTCTCGCTTGCAGCTGTGGAACCACCTCTCCATCTTCGTCGTTGTGACCGGGATCGCCTTGGGGCTCCGGACTTCGGTAGGAGATGCATTCTCGCTCGGCGCTTATTGGCGCACCCCCGTTCGGGGAAAGATGCCTCCCAGGATCCGGCATAAGGACTGGGATGGGAAGAAAGGAGGGAGGCTCCGGGGCGAATTCCAGAGCACGGCCTCCTTCAGGCCAGGGCCTCCGCTCATGCCAGCTCTGTGAGGCGGTGGAGTCTGCCTGCCTTCATCCGAGAAGACAAAAGGTTCTTCTTGAAAAATAGAGGTTCTGGACCTATGAGGGAGAAATAGCTAGTTTTGCCATTTCCGTGGAGCAAAAAGTTTTGCTTTGTTGTAAGGGAATATATATTGTTCCTGGTGCGGGCTTTGAGAAAGAGAGAGAGAGAGAGAGAAGAAAGTTTGTTTTCCTGTGAGAAGCACCCATTTCACACAAAGACAAGGTGGGTCTCAGGCATCTCTGAGTTCTTGACTGCCTGAAAGAGTACTATAGTGCCAAAGGCAGTACTTTGAGCCCATATTTCTGTGCCTACAATAGCAGAGTTGGAAATGGAGGAAAAGACAAGGATGCACAATCTTAAAGCCCCAGAACAAAATCTGGGCTCTAGGGCCCTTCTAGAATATACCACCAAATATGACGTTTAACATGACAGAAGGGGGGAAATAATTGTATGGGGAACAGCATGTAATTAATTATATTTAAATATAAATTGAATCACTTTTTTTCCTGTACATACTTATTTTTTGGAGTGTGGCCCTGTCCATGCTCCTAAATGTACATGCTTCCCAACCTCCTCCCCACCTAAATTTTATACCTCACTGTAAGATCATGAATGTAGAGCAAAGTAATGGTGGAAAAGCCATACAGCGACTCACAAAGGCATTATTATGATCTGTCATTGGTGTATCAAACTATGTACAAAAATGTTTTTGTTTTAATTGGAGCAATGCACTAAAGCATCTTTCAAAAGGGCTGTAGGGGCAAAGATTAAAGAAGGTGAAAATAAAACAGGTTTGATGGACTTAAAAGGGGAGAGCATTAAGAATGGGCAACAGATACAGCACCATCATATACAGGGCATTTTAAAAGCCCACAAAGTTGATTTAGGGGATTCATTCAGTCCAGATCAAATTCCCCAATAATACCAACCTTCTGTGAATTCTGTGACTGATACCTGAGTACTGCACTGGTAGATCTCTCTTTCTCTCTTTCTCTCTCCAAATGTATGTGTGTACATACATAGAATTAATTAGAATTAAATAATGGCTTGCACTTATAGTATTTCTCCTCTTTTATATGCTTGCTGAACAACTCTTAGATGATCTGCTAAAAATTGTACTAAAATTCAGCAAAGCCTGTTTAGCCTCTTATTTTCTGACTCAATATTTTCAAAAGAAAAGAAGTGGCTGTTGAACTCTTATTAAGTATTGTGCATGCTAATTTAAATCAATGTGCAATTATTGGATATTGGCCATCTGTATCAATATATCCAGGTGGCCCATAACTAAATTTTAATCAACTATGTGAGTCCTGATTAAATAAGAAGAATCAGTTTAGTATAATTTATTCTGATTCCCCCCCCCACCCCCCAGGCTGTCTGTTAAGATGAAGGTATAGACTTGTCTTCATGTTGAAGAGAGGCAAAGAAGCCCTCTGGGAGGAGAACAGCAACCAGCTGGCCCTGGATAAGAAGCATGAAAGAACATTTGTTACTCTGTGTGTGCCTGGGAAATGATTCATCCTTGTCTGGAAGCAAAACTGATTATCTTAGGTTTGCATGAAGGAATTCCTTATTATGTTTAAGAAGTCAGATAGATAGATTGGAGTGACTGAAATAAAGTCTGGAAGGCCTTCTGAAGATGCAAAAAGCTATTTGCTTTTGTAACCTATCAAGCTGAATTTCTGCTCCACTTTTTGGTTGTACGCATATTAATACATTACTCTTGGAGGTAGGGATGAGAAATGAAGGAATGGTGCTTGAATTTCCAGAATTAAAACTTCCCTAAAAGTGAGGTCATTGACTAAGTACTTATTAATTGCCATAGAAAAATGTGAAAATGTTTAAAAATAATAAAATCAAGCTGCTTCAAGCAAAAGGACAAAATGTCCATTATGAAAATCTCTGGTGAGTTCCATCCTGCTCTTTTCTTTACACACTTTTTCCTCTCTTTTATATTAACTGCAGATGGTAAATTCCATTATGGGATACTATATTTGACTGTGATCAAAATTACATTTATCAGGGATATTTCTCTATTTCCAGATTTTCTGAGCAATTCTTTCTCAGAGTGATCACTGTGAGGATGGTAGTCTTATAGATGGCCTGTGTTATAGTGGTGTAAGCAGTTTTATCTGAGATCTGCTTTGGGAGTTCACCTTAAAATCACACTTTAAGGATTTCTCAAAGTAATGCATTGAAAAGTACAGCATTCTAAACTAGTGCAGCTTTCTGAATTTCTAACCCTTTATTTTATTTTATTTTATTTTATTTTATTTATGTGCTTATGTGCTAGATTTATATCCTGCCTTGCCTCCATGAGCTCCAGACTGCTTAGCTGGGGATCTCTCTTTTTTTTTCATCCCCACAATAGAAACCATGTGAGATAGGTGATGGTCAGAGAGCGTGACTAGCTTGAAGTGATCTAGTGAGTTCCCATAGCTGAGGGTGGATTGGATTTGAATCCAGATCTCCCCAATCCTAAACTGACCCCCTAATCATGGCATCTAATTGGCTGTTATTCTGATGCCTCATTTTGAAGATTTCTCAAAGCAGGCAATATGGATGCTTTGGCACCACAGTGAGAGGGAGCAAAAGAGCAGTGATGGAGACAGGCCAGAGTGCAGTTTGTGATATATGTTTACACATATATCACAAGGTGGTAAAAGTAGAGAGCTGAGTGACATCAGCAGCATCACTTCATCTAGCCAGTGGATATATTTGGAATTTTGAAAATAAGTTGTAGACACCTGTGCACAATGGGTGGGTGGGGGGCTGTCCATTAATAAAATGGCTGCCATAGAGGAACGGTCACAAAAGATCAATTTTCCATAAGGCATTCTGATTAGAATGCCCCTAGCATCCCCTCTAGCCTTCCAGAATGGTCTCTAACACCCTTTGCTTACCTTTGTCTTTTTTTTTTCTTTTTTGGTGGGCAGTTTGCTTTCACCAACTACCAGTTTTCTTTTCGAAAATTATTTATGGGGCCTGTGAAAGGTCCAGAAACATTATTTGAAATACATATGATATTGCTAGCTAGTGCTTTATATGGCAGAAACACAACTTTCTGGTGTTAGGTTACATTTATGCCAATAGACCCCTTGTTAGAGAGACCAGCCTCATGTAGTGATTTCAAACCAACAATCTTAGCAAAAAGTGTAATCTGGCAAACCTTCCTGGCAAGAAAATTCCAAATCTTATGTCCTTATAAATGAAAAAGTCCTCTCACCTTTGGGTTCCAGACCACTCAATTTCTAAAGGCATGGCAGCCCAAAGAATGACTTTTGAGGAAGTTCACAATAGGTGGAAGGAACTGGTACTCAAGGAAATCTGTGCCTCCTTGTTGGTGTTAGATATAAGTGGCAGAACATTATCCTGCAATCCTGGCTTGCATATAATGGCAACAGCATGCTTGGGGTAAGGCTGGGTTTTGGTTGCATTTGTGGCATGCTGGAAAAAATGTGCACAAACTGGCCAATACTGGGCCCTTGCCATTAGCAGGGAAGGCTCCATGTGGCCTGGGGACAACTAAGGTGGAAAATGGAGTATACTCTTTATTGTACTAAAAGTATTATGTAAAAGCTTTGGTTAGCCAAAGCCATAGTGGGTTGTGGAGAACAATCTGTATTTCTTAGGCTCATCTACTGACAACCATGACAGTGATGATTTTATTGTAGCTTATTTTTTGTAAGCTGGAATGGTTCCATGGTATACAAATTTAATAAATAATAATAATTATAATAATATGTAAGATTGTGACTTGAAATGTAAAAGGAATATGCAGTAAAGGGTATAATTAATCAATGACATGAAAATAAGAAAAATAGTGTGCTATGTGTTTGTAAAGCTAAAAGGAAGCAGAAGCATGTAATAGAACTGAATGAAGAACTGAACTGAATAAAACTGAATAGAATTGAATGAATGATCTTATGGAATTGATAAATACATGGGTGGAAACAAAGTGGTAGATTTATTATGGATGAAAGGGCTAAAATGTGTGTCAGAAGGTATGACTTGGTGTCATCTAGATTGTTTTGGGTGTGTATGAAAGAAGGAATTATTGCTTGGTAATAGTTGCATATGATGATCCAATGAATGGTGATAATCAAGAAAAACCTGATTATGAGGATGAGGGAAAATAATGTATAATGAGAAAAATATAGATGTAAAGAAAATAGTCAGAGAAAGAAAATACTAGAAGGAATATTTTAGTTTTGTATGGGAATGATAGTATATTGAAGAGTAGAGTTGAAATTGTGTGTGCCTGTGTGTATGTGTGTGTACTATAAATGCTAGTGTCTGTAATGGGCAGTAGGAATATCCTTGAGGAATAGGAGGAAGAGCTGCAACCAAGACAGCAGTCAGACAAAAGAAATTTGAGTCCACGGCAGAAATGTAACTTCAGATCCTCCCTAGTTCTCTTGAAGATAAAGTGAGGGAGGGGAGAGGCGCATTTAAACTTGCAAGTTTTTATTATTGTAATCTTATAATAAAAGTAGTATTAGCATTCATAACTTTGGTTTCCTAGTCTGGTCTACCTTGAAGGGCTGACAGTGTCCAAGAAAAAAATAGATGAAAAAAACCCAGGAATGTTGAAAAATAGAAAGGTGGAGAGTGTTGATATTAAAAATATGGATGTGATGGGCTTATGGAACAGCTTTGTGATGTGTTTGACATGTGTGTAAAAATTCCACCTGTGCCTGAGGATTGGAAAAATGATGCTATTGTTCCCATAGCCCAAAGGAGAAATAACAAGACTGAATGCAAATACTACAGGAGATGTATTTGTTAGGCATGCCTGGGGAGATATTTGGCAACATTCTGACTGAAACATAAAGGGAAAACACTGGGCAAAATCTGGGAAGCATAAATAATGTGCACTGTAGCTTTATGCTGGGCCAGGGTGTGCAGACCAGATTTTTGCTCTTCAGAAGGTCATTGAGAAATTTATGAACATGAAAAAGAAAGGCTATTGTGCGTTTGCTGATTTACAGTAAATAAGTCCAAGGAATCAGGTGAGATATATGTTTTGTAAGACAAATAAATAAAAATGTAGTAAATAGTCTTGAATTAAGGAACATTTTGCACAAACATGGTTGCTGAATGTGGTAAGAGTGTTACATGATGCAAATAAAGGAAGCATGAGAATACATTGAATGCATAGTGAATGGTCCAGCAGTGAGCAGGGAATAAGACAGGGATGTGTGATGTTCCATTGTTGTTTAATGTATTTATGGATTATATATAAGGAATGCTTATGGTGTTGAGGATGTGAACATGTATGAACTTTTGTATGTAGACAGTGCTGTTTTGTTAGCTGAGAACCCAAATGAAGATAGATCATATAATACAACACAGTATGGATCTGAAAATCAAAAGCCAAGATAGCTACCTTGGACAGGAAGAATACAGTGAACAATTGCAAACAGTAAAAAACTAGAGCAAGTACCTTGGTTGAATGTTTACTAAAAACGGGAAAATGGATGGAGAAATGTTAAGAATTGGTTGAGAAAAAGCAGGATTGGATGGAGTTAGTGAGATCCTTAAAAGAGATGATGAGAAAGAATAAAAGGCAGTGTATAAATAGTTTGATGGATGTGATGGAACTTTTTAAAACAAGTTCAAAATCCCCTTACTGGCTAGCAACCGCCAGTTCAGACTACTTCAATCGTATACATTGAAGTTAGGAGGGTTGTGCTCAGAGTCATTTTTTAAATATTTTTTTACAACCCTTCTCTTGTAAAAAAGTTAATCTTACAGTTAACAGCAAAAGGGGAGCTTGATTACATCAAGTTTCACAGTACTGGGAAAGCTTTCATTTAGCATTCAGCCCTAACCTCTCTATGAATGTTGGGACAACAGAAACACAGCAGGCAAAAGTAATACTCTGCCTCTGCCATTATTAGTCATACGAATAATATAGCATTAAATCATTTGTTATCCATTTCTGTTAATCTGGAGATACTTTTTTAGAGTAGGTCAGTTCATTACTCTTCCCTAAGGCTGGATCATTTATGAAAAAAAACATCCCAGTGCAGATCCCTCTGGAAAACTGCCTGAATTGCTGGTGAAAACGTGTTCGTCTCTCTTCTTTGGCTAGTTACTGATCTAGAACAGGTTCCACCTTCTTATCCCTTGTCTATTGGTGAAAAATGACCGTAAAAAACAACAACAACTTGACAATCCAACTGTAGTGGGTGCTTCCTTACATTTGGAGATTGTTGGCAGGGGAATTTCTGTTTCTGTATCCTGCTAAAATGTGTGAACACAGAGAAGTTTACTAAGCTGGTAATTATTTCCTCATGTTTTAAGCAGAAAATAAGCACTAGTGGTGGGTGTTTTAGCGGATTTTAAGTAGGATGGCATTGAGGAATTTTGCATTAAGATTTTCTCCCCACCCCCTTCTTGCCTAGAGAGCCTTGTTCTTGCAGGGAAAGAATTAATTTGTTGTGTTTTCTTATTGACTTCAATGATAGTCCTTTAACTTTCATTAACACTATTTGAGATATAACCAAATGACATGATTCACTCAACCAAGTCATGGATGGCTTTCTGAAGAAGCCACAATTGTGCTAAGCTATAAATTTTGCTTTATAAACCATAGTGCTAGGCTTATACAGCATGCTAACCCTAACCAAAAAAAAATGTGATGAGATAGTATAATATGCCTGGTTGAGAATAGCTCCCAAACTCTGCTCTGTGTTCACCATGTCTTTGCTGCATCATCCTTTCTGTTCATTGTACCAGTGAAAGCTGGTACAGGAGCTCAGTAGAGTGCACTTATAAGGAGTTGCTATTCCAGTACTAAGCTGAACACTCAGATTTGGCTTATGCAGAGAACTATTGGGACTTCTTAGTGCCCTTCAGAGTTCCTTGATAGAGAGGTGTTTTGCCTAACACCATATGTCTTTGGCTGTAATGTAGTAGGAAGGTATTGATAAAAGTCTGGAAAACTGATGGTTGATATCCATAATAATGTGGGGTTCTAAGCCCTTCCTGAATAGTTAAGACCAAACTGCTTTTATTGGCAGGGCTGTGAGTAACAGGGTGAAAAAAGCAGCTTTGATGAAAAAAAAATGGTGAGGCTTTTTGCATTACAGTAAAAGAATACTTTGACCATACAGCTCAGAAGTCTCCTTCTTTTCCTCTTTGTAAAAAGCAACAACAGTACTAGAAATTCAGATATTGGGATCAGATATCCATTGCTGCAAACAGTATAGATTTCTCCTTCCAGTACTGTATAATAATTCTTTTATCCAACAGCTATGCCTTAAAACCCACATTTTTTTAACATGATAGATAATACTGGGGATATAGCCAAGAAGAACATATGCTTGCTTTGACATACAGCAGTTGATCCAGAGTTATGTGAACAATCCTGTTGATGCCAGCACCAAATTCAGTAATAATAAGATTAAACTGTAGGTTTAATTCTCGAGTTACACTGTCAGCAATATAGTGATTGTAACCAACATAAAACATGCATATCCTTTCACAGAAGTATAGCATTGGAATTATTCAGTGGTCATTTCTGTTCTGTGCCAGTCAGACTGCACCTAGAATATTGGATCCAGTTGTGGGCACCATATTGGTAAACTGGAATGTGTCCAGTGGACAACAGTTAACATAAGGGGACAGGAAGGAAAACCATACAGAGGGGCAGTTAAGAGGACTGGTTGAAGGTATTGGATATGATTGTGGGAGAAAATTTAGGAGAAATATGTGCTTCTGCAGTTCCAAACACCACACCAAGATGAAGCCAAGCAGGTTGGTGCTGGTCTAGCCAATAAGGCTGTAAATATATTCAAGGTGCAAAGAGAAGGAGGGAGGGAGGGAGGGAAGGCAGGCAGGCAGGCAGGCAGGCAGGCAGGCAGGCAGGCAGG